GCTCCATTTACGCTGCCGTTTGTGGCTCCATTTACGCCACCGTTTGTAGCTCCATTTGCGCTACCGTTTGTCGTTCCATTGGTGCTACCGTTTGTGGCTCCATTTGCGTCACCGTTTGTAGCTCCATTTGCACTACCGTTTGTCGTTCCATTGGTGCCACCGTTTGTAGCTCCATTTGCGCTACCGTTTGTGGTTCCATTTGCGTCACCGTTTGTGGCTCCATTTGCACCATCGTTTGCTATCTAGTAGTTATAATGGGAAAACGTTTGTTTTTTAAAAAAATATAATAAAAAAGTTTTTCTCAAGTTATAATATGTTTAGAATTGAAAAATTATTTTTTTTTTTACCAAAACAATAACAACGACGAGAAAAGAAAACTTAAACATTTTCAAGTTCATTGTCAATGCGATTTCTCTTGTTTTGTTTGCTAGAAAGTTACTGATTGGGACCAATTCTGGAGCAGTTTATATAGTCACACTGTATTAATTACATGATTCATTTCCATTAATTTGCCACACGCTTTAATTTAAATTTTAATTGAGTGTAAATTCTAGAAGTTTTTAATTGATCCGACACTCCTTCGAATTTGACATTGTCATTTTTTCAATCATATTTCTAATTACATTTCGGCGAAATGATATTTTTCGTGCTCATAAATAATTGCGAAAGCGGTGAATGAATTACAATGTTTCTCGAAAGAACTGAAAACTTAAAAATTCCTGCATATTCAAAAATTCAGCCACAGGAAGGCTTCCATTAAACTGTCTTCTTCGTGTCGAATTTTTAGTAAAATGTAATTCGTTTGCAATATATTTTGCCTCATTTCCTCGCCTAAAGTACGCCGTCGTTTTGCATTGTATTTTTCTCGAAATCTACCACGATGAAAGCATATGGTCTTGCATATATTACATACACATCAAATAATAAAAATTGAAAATCATCCTTCACATTTTCCTTATCTTCTTCACGCCAAAACGCAAAAAAAAGAAATTATCTATTGACGGCTGGCTTTGCTCTGCATATAAAGCATGTCAAAAATGCGGTACAAAAACGACTGTCGATTTTGAAGGTTTTTAACATTTAAACGTTCGTTTACGAGAGCCAAATGCAAAGGGAAAAAACCTTTTTATGAAAATGTGGTTGGACGGTTGAAAATCGATTGTGTGTGCGGCAGCATTTTAATAATTCGCTCCAAACTCATCGTTTTTTTTCTCTCTCGTTCAACAAACTTCACTTTTCTTCAGTAGAAAAATCATCGCCACATTATTGCATAGCATTGAAACGCTTGAAATTTGACGCGCATGATAAAGGAAAAATGTTTGGGGAAACATTTTGCATCATGTGTCGATACACAGAAAAATATGTTTGATACAAAGATAATTGATAGTTGTAGCATGGCTGTTCACCGCCAAGCCGAACCAAATGTATCTATTCAAATATTGAAAAAAATTCAGCTGGGTACACACAATGTTTGCTAGAGAAAATCATGGTGATGCATCATATTTTACACACTGGCAAGCGAGAGAGAGAGAGCATAAAGAAAGGCCATTCAAGGCAAACTTTCATTAAATAAAATTTTGTAAACATGAAAGCAAAACAAAATTATAAGATGAATGTGGCTCGAATGAGAATTTCTTATTAAATACTGTCTCAAATATTAACAGTTGACAAACCATTTTGAAAAGCACGTACATATGCCAGCATTGAGACGGCACATTTCAATTTCAATCTTATTAATTTTAGTTTATTTGATGTGTTTTGAGGGAAAAAAATATGAAAAATAAATCTTCAACATGTTTGACAACAAGCGATGTTATTTTCATGGCATCGAAAAGACGACTGACATCTTATTCAAATGATGAATTTAATGATTGCCAAGAAAACTTTTACTTGACATTTAATGAAAAGCAAGAACAAAGTTTCAATCATTTTATAATTAGAAGTAATCAAAAGTTTTTTTTTCTACGATGCGGTGCTACAATCAATTGCTGGAAAAGATAAACTTATTCAATCTTAATGCTAAGATTATTTAGCAAAGCTAAGCATTAGCGAACTGGTGCGTTGCTGCCATTAAGTACTGCTGTTCATCAAATAATTGCTGTTTCGGATACGTTGCAACGAAACTTTGTAGAACGTATGTTGATTGAATCGGGGAGCGGTAGCTGTGTCTATTTAGCGCAAGCCCGTGAATGTTATTCAGACTTGCAACATTCTATCTTCGGAAATAACTTACATTATACTGCTTAATTGCAGACATAAGCCGGACCGCAATTAAGATTGAAATCCATTTTGAAATTGTATTTGTAAAGTAGAAGAGATGAGGTGAGATTCATGTGCAAACTGAAAACGCAATTTAATTAAAACATCTTACAGACAGAATTGGTAAATAGAAAAATGTGTTGTAATGATAAAAATGTCAAAATAAACTTTCTGCTGCTTTGTGTTTATCTTTGAATATACCTGCGCCTAAATGTGAAGCTTTCAATAGAATTACTTACTTCAAAATTATTACACAGATTCTTACTTCACAATTAAAATTACTTCAGAGCAGAACGAAACCGAATGTTCACTGTGAACGAAGCAAAAAATCGTGTTGACATTGAATTCGAGAAATTCCAGTAAAAAAGAGAAAATATTTACCTCATGATTACCTCAATGAGATATATCTGATTTTTTCCGTTTATTGCAAAACTGAGATTGCTCTTCCCAATATTTGCTTTTTTTTGCAAAATTGTTTAATTAGTCATATTAAGTAGTCAATTGACTTAGGTCGTTTTTTCCCTCAAATTCAGAACATATAAACAAAACGCATTTTTATTAACCCAAATTCGATTGTATATATTCGTTTGAGCAAACTTGTTCAATGCAATGTTTCGATTTGAAAAGTTTTAAAAACGACTGGCTATGTACAGATTCTTATCATTCAAAATCTAGCTGAATCATGAAGTCTTTGTATCGGAGTGAACAATGTATTTTAGGATTCTATTTTTAATTTTCGTGATTTTATTTGTAAGTTAAATTGATAAAAGACAAACAGGGATTTTTCAAAAAATTTGGAATTTAAAGTAAATGGTAAAAATTAAATTTTTAATTTGTTTGTGTTAAAAGGTCGACCTTTTCGAAAAATCAAAAGTAAACGCAAATGCTGTTGCGAAAAGTGAAGCAAAGAGCTTAGCAGGAGCAGATCCCGATGCTCTTGCTGCGCCAAGTGCATTAGCGTTTTTTAAGCAACGAATAGCGCAAAGGAGCAAACCAACACAGAAGAAAAAACGAATCAAAATTTCTGTGTATCCATCGAGTTCACAGAAGAAAACGAAGAAGAAAAAGTGTAGGAAATGTTATCGAAAGAAGAAAAGCCGTAAGAAAAGCCGTAAGAAAAGTAAAAAACGGCAGTGCAGACAGAGGTGCAAACAAAGAAGAAAAAGAAGAAGAAGAAGAAGAAGAAGGTTTTTTATTTTTTTGAGGCACATTTTATTCAGTTTTAGTATTTATATATATTTTCTTAGAACGACGGCTTCTACAACAGCGTCTACTGCAAGCACATCATCTACAGGTAAATTTAATTGAATGATGAGTAATCAAATTCAGGTCGATATCAAATTTACATTTATTATATTTTGGTTCGGTACGAATTTCGTATAAAAATGTCCATGTTTTAGTGATTTAATTTTTTTTTCAAATCGACATTTCGAAAGAAAAATTGTTGGTACGAATATTTTTTTCAAATTTGATATCGGGATTTATTTCCAGCGTCAACCACTGTGACGACGGCGGCCACAACCGCGGCAACAACTGCAGCAACGACGGCGGCAACAACCGCTGCCACAACAGCGGCAACTGCTGCCACAACGGCGGCAACAACCGCTGCCACAACAGCGGCAACAACTGCTGTCACAACGGCGGCAACAACCGCTACCACAACGGCGGCAACAACCGCTGCCACAACAGCGGCATCAACTGCTTCCACAGCGGCTACTCCAGCTACAGCGGCTTCTCCAGCTACAGCGGCTACTCCAGCTACAGCAGCAGCTTGAATTTTTCTTCACCTGCGATGGATTAAGAACTTTTTCTCAAATAGAATTTAACGGAGCGGTTATAATATTACAACGTTCATTCTTTCAGATGTTTTTCTATTTTCTTTTGAAAATAAAGAATATTCTTTTCTTATTATTAAAATCGAATATCTATCTTCAACAACTTGTATCCACTGGATAGTATTCACTGTGTGTGTTTTTTTTTATTTTGTGCATGTCAAATTTTGGTTTAATCATAAATCAATTTTTCTTGTGGATTTCTACATCATTTTTAGATACTTCCGAAATGCAAGATGCATGTGAAAACATCATTTTTCTTGTATTATCTTTAAATTCGAATGTCACTCGACGTCGCATCATAAGACGTATATTACGTAAACAGTTTTTTTTGTAATGTCTTCATTTGATCTTTATGTGTTCATCGTTTTATTTTCTTCTTGTTCTTCTTTTGTGCTTGAAAAAAAAATTCAGTGTCGTGTCGAACAATGAAAAGTTGTCGTTCATTTGAATAAAATGTATGTGTGTGTGAGAGAGTGGGAGGGATAGAGCGAGAGAAAGGAGATAAAAAATCTGTGAAAATAATAAATAATGCAAACATATGTGTTTGCTGTAAAGTTTAGCAATTTTCTATCGGCAGCCAACTTTTTCGGTTCATTGCCGATTCGAACGAGTCACCATCTGTTTCACATGAGTCTTTAATTTTTTGCTTGTCTCAATGAATGTGGCAACTACATCGTTATTGATGCATTTAACATTCATTTATTCCAAAACAAATTCATTCTTCTTCGTTTGTCCGTGCAAAGTTGGTGAATGTAATCTAAACTGTTTCGAACAGCTTCGGAAGCAGAAATTTATTCGTTTTTATTAAAATATGTTCCACATCGTACACTCAATAGAACGTTGATTCTTAATTTCTGGCTTTAAGTAAAAAAAAAATCGGCAAATTTAAAACCTTGCATACTTTCATTCGAAAATATTCTTTCAGAGAGTGTTTTTATGATTTACCTTTTTGTTCTTTTTGAACAAAATGACCTTCATTGACACTTTACAAAGGCTCAATGGCTTTTGGAGATATATGTATTTAACACACTAAGTTTATTAAGCAAAATATTCTAGAAATAACCTGTGTTCGGAAGCCAGACATGGCATTTAAACATCGCGTTGACAGTGTCACCAACATTTATTTTGATGGTTTTTCGATTTCCGGACATGTCATAAGTGTGACGGCTCGGACTTTTTTTCGATGTATACACGTAGAATGTCGTTTTTATTTTATCGATAAGCAGGGAAAAAAGTTGGGAAAACCATTTTTTTATAAAACACGTTAACACCGCATATGGAGAGAAGGATATATAGGTATACAAGATGACAGCACAGATAAAATGATCAAATCATAGCGTAACGAGACTGGATTGACAAAAATGCATTCGTATCGAAAATAGTCCGGGGAAAAACTCGGTTTTCATGTTTTCAACTAATCACAAATCGCATATTCAATCCAATCGAAAAATATCCAATTCGACTTAATCCAAATGGGACAAACATGTTTTTTTTTGAATAACATTAACGACATGTGTAAAATAGATTTTATTGTAAACTTTCTTCAAGCTTTACGCGGTGATTAGTTCCGAAATTATTTGTTAAAATACATGAGATACAATAATGTGATTTTATATATTTGAGATACAATAAAAAAAGCAAACTTCATTCAATATCAAAAATAGTTGAATCAATTCCTTGTCCTTGATATTTGGGATGCTTAACGATTGAAATGACTCAGCATCGTAAAATACGAATAAGAAGCTTTACATAACTATTGACAAAAATGAAATTGATGTTTTATGGAATTTATAGATTTTCTTATCATCTTGTAGCATTCTCGTGTGCATTCGATATTCATCAGTCCTCGCATAATAACGGGATGCTGTCTGTTATTCAATATGACTGGTAAATGCTTTCCAAGCCCCAAATATAGCAATGCGGATGAGCAATCATTGAATCATTCGAAATGTCATTTGCATATCGATTGGTTACACGATCGCCAATATTACCTACAACAAACAATGCAAGACTAGTAATTTATTTTTCTCTTGGGAAGCAGGTGTTAGTGTACTTACAAAACAAAAAATACCATGTTAAAGACGCACACAACATAAATACTTGATGTAAACTTGTGACATAATCACCAATTATTATGAACTAAATTGAAAATTTATAGAATTGAAGTTATATTATAATTAGTGTTTTAAAACATTTCGTATAGATTAATTATTATCAAATTCGCTTCAATGTCTGAAACAAACGCCATTGAATATTGACAAATGTGGATAGAGAGCGTTCTCCAATAAAGCCGTTAAAAAAGCCGATTCCATTAGAATGGCAAAGAAGAAACCAATCGGTTGTTCCCAATCAAAGGGTATCCTTGAAGGAGAAAAACATTTTCATCCACATTTATTTGCTCATTATTATTATTAATGATGCCTACTTCATGGGAATAGATATTGTTATTTGTTTTATTATTTGCCTGAATTTATGCTTTAAAGTGACTGAAAGTTTGAAGACAAATTAAGTTTTATAGAAAATTCCACGACACATGTTGGAATAAAAATGTGAATTAAATTTTCTACTTTGCGATATTTTTTGTTTGAAATTTTGAAAGTAATAGATTGAATGTCAACCGATTTTATGATCTTTTGTGGCCCATTTCAGGTGAGAAAAATCGAGCCATTTCCATTTTAAACCCCTTCTCTCCGAATCAATCCAAGTTAAATTGAAATAAAAATAGGAGAGAATGCTTAAAATGGAGTACAAGACCGAACGAGCGTGTGCGCGAGATTGGGATTTTTCTCACACAAACTGTGTCACAAATTCAAGTGATGACATTTTTGGAAGTCACAAATTAGTCACTAAATCTAGAAATGAGGGTCACTTCAATTTAGAGAAATTCATTTAAAAACCAATGTCGATTTAAATAGATCTACATGGCACCTGCTTCAATTCACGTAATCGCCATCAATGACAAAATATATTGATTTTTCCATGAAATGCCAACATTTGCATGCAAGCTTACATGTCATTGTGTAAGCATTATTCTTCACATCTGTATTGGTAAATTGAGAAAATCCAACATTTCTACAGACAATTGGTGATGAAATTCTATTCGACTGCAGTAACCAAAAGTATCTAACTGGTTGATGACCTCCAAAACCGAATTGATTGAAGGATAAAACTCTTGCCCTTTGAAACCAAAAGGATGATTCCTGTCGGTGTCTTATCATTTAATATCACTTTTTGGTTTTCTTTTGTAATTTCGGTTAAATGTTGTCGAACACTCATTTAAAATGAGTCATTTTATTTGCTGTAATTTTTTGTACATTCTTAAAATGTTGAAAATATTATAAACAAATTTTCATTCTTACAACGATAATGAGGCAATATAAAAATATTCTTCCAGTTTAAGGTATTTTCTTCGTCGGGTAAATAAAGGTAAATGTAACATGTGAATGAAATAAAATCCGTAAATAGAAGAAAGAAACAAAAATCGAGAGACAGACATTGACTTTGGCGCATACACACGCAAACCCTCTCTCTATCTCTCCCAAAGCAAAACAATGTGATACACATGCACACAGCAACATTTTCGTTGTGATATTCATACAAACAACAACAACCGAACACATGCATTCATCAAGCAGTTAACTTCCAAATGGAATCTTTATTAACTTTCCACTCACGTATTTCGTTTTAATCCTGACAGGAATTCTTTTATTTGATTACATGCTTTCGTTTGCTCTTGTTATACGCTTTTTTTGCTACTTGCTCATGTACATTTCTTGCGCATTTGCCGATTATTTCTTTTACAGTAAAGATATGCGACGAAACAATATAAATGAAGCCAGAAAGATCTCATGTCATAGGGGCCGAAGCATGTTGTTGTCTCTTGCCATCATTTTTGACTTCACATGAAAACAGAAAACTGTTTGCCAATATTTCTTCCGTCTTGTCTGCGTCAAATGATAAAGGCGTGTTTCATTGTTTGTTTATACCAATGCCTTTTTGCACACGAATTGCCGTAACCAACCGCTAACTCTCTCTCTCTCCCTCTCTCACACACACATACACTCATTATCTCATTTTTGTATCAAAGGGCATACGGATTTGATATATTTTCGACTTTCGTATCAAACCTCAAGTCGCATCCCCGGCAGACAGTCAACATTTTAAGATTAATACATTGGCATTTAATATCCTTTAATGCTACGAACTATTAACTTGTATTGTGTGTATTCATAGCTTTTATTCCGTTTGATATTCATCGCGTATAACTGGAGTATAATGACCATTTGTACAATTCTCTGCCCATCATACATCTCTTTAGCTGAACGTCAAAGCTGTGCGACCTTTTTTCACCAGTCACATAGGAAGTTAATTGCATGCCGACCTTAGAACATTTTTATAGCCTATATTTGGCATGATGAAATCGCATTTTTTTATTCATTCGCTTAAGACAGTAGATATGGACACTCGCCCAAATGTCGGACTATTTGTTTGAATTTTCAACTTCAATTTAATATTTAACATTTTTGATTTCATGAAAAAATATCACTTTATACACAATTCGATGCAGAATTTAATTGTGCTTCATTTCACGTTTCTCAAAAGATAGTAATTTCCAAAAATGTATTATTTTTTTCCATTTTTTCGTCATAACATCGAAAATTCCAAATGTCGGATATTCGTCGTCCAATTCTCGGCTCCCTAATCTCGACATATTTCATGCATTTTCACTACGAAACTTGTAAACTTCAAGTTTTGACAGCCCATGAACGCACTATTTACATTGAGGTAAACAATACAAAATATTGGAGTTAAAATTATTTGATTGATATATTTTTGCTCCATATTTTATTTAACTTATTTTTCTATAGTAAAGTGGCAAAAATATTTAAAAATATTACGTTATTTCACTGATCTAGAATATTTTTGGTTTGAATTTCACAATGATCCAAATACGACTTTAACTGTCACATCTGTCAAATCCAAAGTGTTTCACTTGAAACTTCGGTGCTTTATGTGTCGGCAATTGGACGATTTATTCCGGAATAATATTACAGTGAAAAATGAAAAATAAATATAATTGTTTTTCTTTATATTTTCAAAATTTCTGTTCAATAATTAAATTA